CTACTACTACTACTACCACCACTGTTGCTGATGCGGATGCTGATGCTGTTTTGCCGATATTGTTGCGGTTACTCTTTACTGTTACTGCTATTGCTAGTGTTATCGTTATTGCTGTCGCTGTCGCTGTCGCTGTGGCTGTGGCGGTTGCTATTGCTGGTGCTGCTGGTGTTGTTGTTGCGGTGGTGTGGCGGTGGTGGTGATGATGGTCGCCGTCGTCGTCGTTGCTGTCTTTGTTGTTGTCGTTGTCGTCAATCGCTGCCAGCTCAAGCCGCCAACCCGAGAGCCAAGAGGACTTACAGATTTGGGACCCTCAATTGGTGCAGACAGCTAGCTGATGGCAACTGTTCACAGATTTGCATCTTATTTAGGTAACCACACAGGAGGGCTGGAGGGCTGCTTGCCGTTGGTTTACATCAAATCAGGCGCCATGCCTACGATCTGGAGCTGCTACGTAGAACCTATACCTAAACATTCCCAAACCCTAACTGGGTTGTGCTTACCTCTTTGTTTAACCCTGACTTTAAGCGATTTCAGGCCGCCTTTGCAGGAGCGCCAGAAACATGTCGCCAGTCTGCCACGCTTAGATTCATTTGGGTCGTGCGCTGTTGTATGGTCCCTTTAATGAGGGTGGAAGGCGGTTTGGGTGAGCAGGCTGTGTGGGTGTGGGTTGCCTCGAGAAAAGGGGCGTGCAGAATTTATGGTCCAAGCGGCTGCTGTACCGACAGGCTCCTGTGAGACAATGTTGCGGGAGCTGTTCCGGTTTCCAGGGAAAGATCGCCGAAGTGTGGATTTGGTAGGATGCCAAATTGCCAATGTGATAAATGGTTCAGTACAGTCGAGTGGCCGGGTCTTGGGCATTAGCAACAGATGATGGCACGCGGGGGGCAAACCTGAGCTTGCACACGCTCCAACAGATACAATAAAGCCGGCAGTGCTTCGTATGGGCTCCATGTCGCAGCTTTGGCCATTTCTGTCCCATGCCAGGTCCAGCTCCATATCACGTGATCCCGACTGATTGATCTTGGGGCCAGATTCGCCGCCAGATTCGCCGGAAGATATGCTTGTGGATTATGGGTGCTGTCTACAACAGGGTTCCTTTTCGGATAGCTGATTGGAGACGATCTCATCAGGGGCCCAGCTGTAAAACACGCACGGTGCACCCATATACATACACGCATGCAGGTAGGTAGGTAGGTAGGTAGGTAGGTAGGTAGGTAGGTAGTTAGGTAGGTAGGTAGGTAGGTAGGTAGGTAGGTAGGTGTGTATGCATGGATGTATGTATGTATGGATGGATGAATGCATATGTATGTGCGCCTGCATGCATGCATGCATGCATGCATGCATGCATGGATGGATGGATGGATGGATGGATGGATGGATGGATGGATGGGTGCATGGATGTATGGATGTGTGGACGTATGGATGGATGGATGGATGGATGGATGGATGGATGGATGGATGGATGGATGCGTTTACGGACGTACGTACGTACGTACGTACGTACGTACGTACGTACGCATGCATGGATGGATGGATGGATGGATGGATGAAGGTATGTATACGTGGACACTTAACGAATGCGGACTGCTCTCGCATGAAGCCATGAAACCTAGACTCAGCGTCGTTGGTAGGCCACCGGCAAAATCATGTAGAAGCCAGGGCACGTTTCGTGTTAACTCCAACCAAGACAAGTCTAGAAAGGGTGTATAGCTGCCACAATGTCGAAAGAAGTTTGACGATGTGGAAGTAGAGTTGCATCTCTCAAGGTCATGCAATTCAATCCCAAGCCTTTTCCTTGAGCTGGAATTTCCGAGCCGACAAAGCCACAACACGAACACGGAAAGTCTTTAGCTCCGTTTTCCTGCCAGGCGCGCTGGTGAATTTGGACCAGTTTCGAGTGGTGTCGCGGGACCGCCATGAAGGGAAGAGGGCGTGACATGGCAAGTACTGCTCGTGCAGACCATCGCAATGCCATGCTATTCCTGCTGGTACTTCCGCTCATATTACGCTACGACAAGCACTTCTATATTGGCTTCTGCCGCTACTGTTGCTGCGACTGGTCCTGAAGCACTGCTGCCGTTTGTGCAACTTGTAGTTGTAGAAACAAGTATCAAACCGAGGATTATCATCAGAATCGGCCAGGTGTTTACTCCAGCTAGAAACGCGATTCGCGTTTCCAGGCTCGTGACAGCCAGCAGCATCATGACCGTCGACGCGTCTATGTGTGGAAATATGCATGGTCGCCTTGTTTTATGGCGAGCACAACCGAATCGGGGCCTTTCCAAAACCCTTCAGAGTCCATGTCATGACTTGGGTAATTTACAGAAACGTACGATGTTATAAAGTTAGAGTCTGTAATATGCTATACAAAACTATGATATACGACAGTATACGATCAATATTCTACTGTAATCGACCATAAAACCTATGGTATAGCTTGTTATACTATGCTATACCCTACAATAGCTGTACTATCATCTTCTCGGCCATGGCGCTGCGCATTTGGAGCCTTTCCGGAGAAGAGCTCGCATCTGTGAGCCTGGAGGACTTCAGTATCTTAGTAGTAGAGTTAGTAACCTTTAGCTCTTGCGGGGGTGAAGGGTCTCGGGTTTAGGGTAATTATATACTCCCAGCAGTACACTATTACTTCGCCTAGGGTATTGGGCACGTGAGGTACTGTTCGGGCGCTGAAGGGCCATCTGCGCACCAAGCACGGCTTCCCCGTCTGTCTTCAGCAGATCTTGCATGATGGTCAGGTCTTGCCGGATGCGACGGAGCTGCGCGAGAGCCACAGCGAACTGCAGCTGATGCTGCGTAGTCTTTCGGATGTACGGCAAGCAGAGGGCTTTGGACCATCAGAGATAGCACGGGAACTTTTGGCCCATGCCAAGGAAGGCAACGCCAGGGTTCTCCAGCTTCTCTTGCAGGCTCGGGTTGACATAGAGTTGATGGACCAGCGAGGTGATACAGCCCTTACTGGTGCTGCCGGTTGTGGTCACGTTGGGATTGTGCACATGCTGCTAGCAGCTCGTGCCGACATAGAGGCGGCTGCCCTTCAAAAGAGGTGTGACACGCCGTTGATTATTGCATCTGAGAAGGGACACGTTGAGGTTGTGCGGCTCCTGCTGGAGTCCAAAGCTAACAAGGAGGCCGTTGGACGATACCCGGCTCTTGACAGTGCTCTACTGCGTGCAGCCTTAAAGGGACACACCGAGATCGTGCGCTTGCTGCTGGAAGTTGGTGCGAACAAGGACTTCCGTGCTAAGGGTGGTGACACAGCTCTGATTCGGGCATGCGTTGACAGTGACAACGCGGAGATTGTTCGTTTGCTCTTGGAAGCTCAGGCTGATGTGGAAGTGGTAGGCAGCTTCCACGGAGCGTTGGGCTGTGCCTCTGTCAATGGCCATGTTGAAGTGCTGCGCTTGCTTTTGGAAGCCCGTGCCAAGACCGATGTGACTGACAAAGACAAGGACACACCTCTAATGGGTGCATCTGAAAAAGGCCACACTGATATAGTTCGCCTTCTTTTGGAAGCCGGTGCAGAGAAGGATTGTGTCGGCAAGTACTCGACACGTGACTCCGCTCTTGGCCGTGCATCTGCCGCAGGCCACACCGAGATCGCTCGCTTGCTTTTGGAAGCTGGTGCTGAGAAGGATTTCGCCGGCGGGCGTGGTGACACACCGTTAATCCGTGCATGCGACAAGGGCCACGCCAAGATTGTATCCTTGCTGCTCGAAGCTCGGGCCAACAAGGAGTTGTCAGGCAGGTTTAACAAAACCGCGCTCATGTGCGCAACTGAAGCAGGAGATCGTGAAATTTTGCAGCTGCTTTCGGGATGAAAACAGTGCCGGCTGTGCAACAAATCGATAGTGAGACTTCGGGTATCAGGCGTTCGATATTTGTACTGATGTCGATGCCGGTGATGATTACCATTCAAGTTGTGGTGGTGATGACGACCCTTGTGCTGTGTTCAGACACGTATGCAGACTGACTCTCTCTCTCTCTCTCTCTCTCTCTCTCTCCCTCTCCCTCTCCATCTGTTGAACACATGTGAGCGGCTATGGTTCCGAGGTATCTTCTAGACCGCAGCACGCTGCATGTATGCATATATGTATGCATGTATGCATGCATGCATGCATGCATGCATGCATGTATGTATGTATGTATGTATGTACGTATGTATGCATGTATGTATATATGTATGTATGTAGTACGTACGTACATACGTATCTCTCTCTTCCTCATTTTCTCTTACACTCAATGTGTGTGGAAAAACCACATATATATATGTATATGTGTATATATATATATATGCACATACATACATACATACATACATACATACATACAGACATACATACATAGATACATACATACATACATACATACATACATACATACATACATACATACATACACACATACGTACAGACGTACATATAGAGCATGCGTGCATATATACATACATGCATGCATACATACATACATACATAATTACATACATACATACATACATACATACATACATACGTACGTACGTACGTACATACATACATACAGACATACACACATACCTACCTACCTA